CATTTATCTCAGCAATGCTAAGTGCACTCAGGAGGAGGCGTTCTTTTGATGTTTTTAGTACTACATCACTAGGCGCTACGTTTGTACACTAACATGCTTACACTTGAAAAGCAGCTCTTCACAAAAGCAATATTGAGCAGTAAATCTCAGTTGGTAGAGCTCCTTTTCCTAAGGAGTTTTATCTGCTTAACAGACATGGGGAATACTCAGGGAAGGGGAAAGAGATCAAAGGAGATGAAGAGTCATGGTGAAACTGCGAAGGGCTGGAGGAAAAGCTGCTAACGGTACCTGGAGGTTCTTGTTCTTCCGAGCCACATTTAGTTTTCCCAGAATATTTACTGAATATGTAGAACAAAGCCAATCAAGGCACTTTGTGTAATAGAAGACACTGCTGGAGATAACACCAATACAATTATCACACAAATATAACCGTAATACTCCAGCTGAGGTTCGTATTTAATAAGCAGGCTTATGCTCGTTAGGAATTGTTTCCCAGAAGAAGTGATGATTGTAGGATACAGATGACACTGGCACAGAAAGTGAAAATTCTTAATATTTGGAAGCCAGGGCAATCTACAAATGAGGAAGAACTGAGTTCCAAGCAGGATAACAGGATGCAGAGGTCACCATCACCTTTAGATGGGCAGAAGTAAGAAGCGGTATTGGGGCTAAGCATCAAGTAGACACTGGAATGGCTTGTCCTGTGAGAAGCAGCGATCAGGAAGGTTTAAGGTTAGAGGAAGAATACCCTGTTTCTCCGGCCCAGTCTCACTTCCTATGAGTTGAAAACAGAAATACAACTGTCTGATGTGACATGAAAAATAAAAGACCCAGGGACTGATCCTGGGGTTCAAGCTTCAAGCTGAAGATCAGAGAAGCAAAGCAGCCAAGCCAGCAATCTTACCTCTACCAAGCTGAAATGGCAGTCCTGTCTCCAGGAATTCTCACAGGCAAAAGCTTTCCAGTTCCTGTCTCCTCTCCTTATATTCCTCTCTCCACCCAGCCATATCACTCCTGTCTCCACCTCCCTAGTGCTGGGATTAAAGGCGTGAGCTCTTCACTCATGTAGGTGAGGGTGGCTTTGAACTTAGTAAGATCCATCTGCCTGTCTCCCGAGTCCTGGGATTAAAAAGGTATGTGCTACCATTGCCTGACCTCTATAGCTTGTGGCTGGCTTTGCTTTCAGAATCCTCTTGCAAACTTTAATAAATCATAAATACTATATCACCAGTATGAGGTCAGCCCTCTCCAGAAATAAACCAGGACAAAAGTCCAGGAATTTACCTAAACAAGAGCAAGCAATCTAAGGCCTAGCCGGCACAAGCAGAATTCTTAAGAATATAAACGTATATGGAGAGACAAGCTGGGTTAGCATATTACATTTTTCAAGAAAGAATTTTAGGAGAATTTTGAAGCGTGCACAATTGCTAGAGATGTACATACAATACAGAATAAGGCCAGTAAGAAGGATTAAAGGCTAGCACGACTAAAGCTCAGAACGAGGGATGAAAACAGGCAAGGAAAAAGACAGGAACCAGGCTAGGCAGTTTCCCTTCTTGGTCATATCAAGGAACCTGTCCTTATCTTTAGCGTAACAAGGAATCATGCAGGGCTTTAATCAGGCACTGTGACATAGGAGACAAAATAATTCCTGCCAATCAGATCTTAAAAATCATTAATTAGCCTCCTCTTTCTTTCCAGAACATTCACTCTATGAATCGCAAAGCAGATAGCATAAGAAGTATATTAGTATCTGTGTATCAGTATGTGTGTAGCTTGAAGTAATACCAAGGACAACTTAAGGTTTCTATTAACAGTGACCATCAGGGGCATGAGATTTCTTCTCATAATTCCACAACCTGAGTTCCCTACCCAGTAATACCTGGATTTATTGCTCACCTCGGTAGCTTTTCAGTTGATAACACTAATTTCCCCCTCATCCATTTATCTTTACAGTTATTTCATGGGGTTACTTGTGGCAGGAATAGTAACAGGAGAAAACAGCATCAAGATTAGCTACAAAAGCCAGTTGGCAGAGGATAGGAAACATTTCCCCATGTGGGCTACTTGCAAGAAAGAGCACCAGGAAAATAGCCTAAGATTTACAAATGCTAGAGAAGACAGGTGCCAGTGGAAACCCCACAAAGGGCCTTAAGACAGCTAGCACAGTGATTTGGGGTATATGCCTTTCCCCAGCTCATTAGCTCACACTCACTTCTAGAATGCCTCCCCCACCCCCTCTATTTCTATTAACTTAAAAAAAAAAAAGCCATCAAACAGGTTTGTTTTCTTGGGGATGAGCTACCTAAAACCATTTACAAATCTGTTTTTCAGGTGGTCAAAGTGCTTGCCATAAAAGCGTGAGGATCTGAATCTGACCCCCAGTACCCACCCACATTAGAAGAACACAAAGCAAGCAAGCAAGCAGACACCCTGTTGCAATCCCAGTGCTGGGGAGGCAGATAGGTAAATCCTTGGAGCTCATTGCTCATTGGTCAAGCAATTTAGCCTACTCAGGCCAGTGAAAGATCCCACCTGAAAAAGCTAAGGTGGACAGCCCCAGAAGAACAAGAGGTTCTAACACACTCATATGCATGTGTGACTACACACACACACACACACACACACACACACACACACACACACACATTCACTCAGGTTTCCCATACTATATGGCTAAGTTCTACCAATGAGAGCTATTAAGTGAAAATCCGTGGAAGAGCAGTGTCTAAAAAGCATTTAAAAAGGAGATACAGGTAAAGCACTTGCTGAAAAACCTGGAGGACTTGTTTCTCCCAGAAACTGAAAAAAGGCAGGTACAACAGCAAACTCCAGCAATCCCATGAGATTTGAGACAGGGCCAGAAGAACCCACAAAAGTTCACACAGCCAGTTAATCTAGCACACGCAGCAGTGGTAAGAGATGGGGAAGGGGTAGCACCACGTGGCAGCACACGGTGACTCCGTTCCATCTTAAGGTCAGAGAGTACAAGCCTATTCTTGCTCCTCAAGGCCAAATTACGGGATATTTGGCTAAAGGTGTGGCTATTAGACGTTTTGAGAATGAGGAAGCGGTTATGGTAAGGAAGTCTTCTGCCCTCCCTTTGCTTTGGGTATAGAAGGGCAATGGGGATAAACTCTGGGCTGCTGTATTCCCTGAGAGCCCTCACGGCTCTGCCCTCTGTCTTTTGTCTCTTCCTTTCTTAGCCCTCGCTCCCCTATTCAGGCATGCTTGGCTGGCCCTGACAGCACGACACCCCAAGTCGTTCTGTGTCCCGTGGCACATGTATGCCTGCACTACCACTTACGCTCACTTGAGCGTGTACTCTCTCCTCTTCCTTCCCCCGGCACATCCCAAAACAAAATAAGAAACCCAACCACAACAGCCACCTTAGCTGATGCTTATCAATGCTCTGCCTTGGCTACTTAGGTGTACATTAGATATCGTACAATCATGAAAACAAAACTCCACACTAAGGATGAAGAGACAGTCAGGATCTTTGGTTACAGTTCTGTAAAGCTTTAAAAACTCAAAAGCACACTAAACTGTGGAGGAAGGAACAAACAAGAAGAGCAGACTTATAATCCCAGCTTTCCAGACGGCTAAAGCAGGAGGTCAGCCTGAGGGAGATAGATAAAAAACAAAAAGTTAAAGGGTCGAAGATAAGCTCAGTGGTGGAACGCTTGTCTAGCAGGTGTGATGCCCTGGGTTGAATCCCCAGCCATAGGGGAACAGAGGTGGGTGACTTCCTTTCATTCTTCCTGTTCATTGCAATTAATGACCAAATTCAGAGAGAATAAATTTCAGCATTAAAAATGCGGATTCAGCCAGGCAGTGGTGGCACATGTCTTTAATCCTAGCACTTGGGAGGCAGAAACTGGTGAATCTGTGAGTTCGAGGCCGGCCCAGTATACTGAGCCAGTTCCAGGACAGGCTCCAAAGCTATAGAGAAACCCTGTCTTGAAAAACAACAAAAAAAAGTGGACTTAAAATTGAAAAAAAAAAAAAAAAGAAAAAGAAAAAGAAAAAAAAAAGACCATCAAATGATTTAGCATATCTTTTTTTTTAATGATATGAAATTTAATGCTCATATTTCCCATATATATATATATCCCAAAGTACCAAATTCTATTCCTAATAGTTTATACTCCCTTGGAAAATAGCAATTTGCCTTCTTAAAATTATTAAATGCACATTCAGTTTATTGGTTGCAAATACTACTGTTGACATTTTGAACATCTGTTATAATTAGTAACCTAAAATTCATTCTTGAAAACTACATGTGACATATGCTAAGATCTAAAATAATGATTCAAAATTAAAAGTCTTACTAACCTTTATCTCAAAATATTAAAACTGTCTAATCTCGTGTCTTTAAAAACAAAATAAAGGAAATTGAAAATGCCAGAAGCAATGGCAAGTTATGAGCAACTCAAAGTCAAAATTTAACCAGACAAAATGATAATGCTTTTTCATACAGTTACGTATTTCAGCACAAACTCTAGAACTAGCTATTCCAATCCTTGGAGAGACTACTTCAAATTGACTGAAAATGAAAGCTCACAGTTGGGGCTGGAATAACGATCAGAAAGGGAAGGGGGAGAGAGGGACGGATAGGAGAAAAGGAGGAAGGGAGGAAAGAGACAGACAGACAGATACACATGCACAAACACTTGGGTGGCATCTAAGGAACTGCAGTAAGCTCTGGCCTTTACATGTGAGCTCACACATATGCACCCACAGACACACACATTATAATCTGATTCCTTACCTGAAACAGTGTTAACCTTTTAAAAGAAAGCTGAACAGACTGCTTTTTGTTCAGTCTGCCCAATACTAGCTGCAGGTGATCTACTTTTTTAGTGATGCTGCTACCAGTCACTGTTATCCAGACAAATAATAAGTATCTGCTCATGACCAACAATAAACTTAGGAATACAGAAGTACTAATAAAGGCATGCTCATAGAATAATCTTACATGAATGTAAAGCTATCTTTACCGTCTTAATAGAACTCCTTTGTTTTTCTTCCCACACACCACTGCTCAACTCAAGTGTGCAATGAACATTTGCTTCTCTGTCATAGGATCCAAAAATGAGTAACCTGCAGAAAAACACAGAACAGGCATGGTACTATATACAATAAATACTTCCTTTCTGATAATCATAAGGAGAAGCAAGATAATACTTCCTTACTATTTTAATAACAGTAATTGTTACACCCTCAAGTTAGAGGTTTCCTAGGCAGCTGGCTTTCAGTGGCTTAAACAGAATCAAGTAAAACAACTGGCCAGATATACATGTTACAGCAAGCAAGACAGACAGAGATTTTCAAGATAGACTGTTGGATTTAAAACCAAGACAAGTTGCAGAGTGATACACATAGGTATATCATTTCTGTAAGACTGTGACCCTATTTAAATTATTTGTTGTCCTAATCTCTTTTCCTCTCTGGACACTATAGAACAAGAATAGCATTACTTACTTTTCAAGAACTATTTTTTAAAGTTAAAAGACCACACACACACACACTACTTAGCATAGTATTAATAAGTGCTCAATGTTTGTTACTTCTTCCCTTTAAAAAATATGTATAAATGTTTTGCCTGTATGCCTTTCTGTGTACAACATGCATGTTGGGTGCCAAGAGGGAGTCAGATCCTTCAGAAGTAGAGTTATAGACAGTTGTGGGTGCTAAGAATCAAACCACGGCCCTCTGGAAGATAAGGCAGTGATCTTAATCACTGAGCCATCTTTTCAAACTGTCTTTCCCTACCTTGAAAACAACAGCCACAGAATAAAGGAAACACCTAACTCATGCCTAATATCCAGTTATAAACAAAGCTCTAATTCTGAGATGATATAAAAATTTATTATTTTATTTAAAAAGGATATTATCCATGTCCAACTTCTATATTATGTACCCTCATAACCAGACTGTAACCTACCAGTTTGTCCTGGAATAAGCGAGTGAATACCTTTAGCATTTACCAGCACTTTGGTTGTTACTGTTACTTTATCACTACATAAAGAGCATAGTAGGAATAAAATAATGGAAGAAAAGTGGGAAACCACCATGTGCACTACAGAAAAGGTTGTCGTAAGCTTGGAGACATTGAGCAAGACCAGCAGATCACAACCACATCTCACGAACTGGCTTCATAAACTGAGAATCCCAAATAACTTATGAGGATGGGAGAGAAAGTCCTAAACTTAAATGTTAAAGAATCTTTAAAAGGACTCCAAACTTAGTGCCAAATAACCTATTACCAAAAAGAAGACAGGTGAAACATATTGAGAAATTCCTAACTTTAAAAATGCTGAGGTTTTGGAATACCAAGAATGTTTATTACTAGAGCTCTACTGCCACCATCTGTTCAGAGAGTGAATTGCCTCAGGCTTCCCCAAGAGCAGAGAAGGCTGTACCAACTGCAGGTCTAGGCTCCAGACAGGTGTGCAAATGAGCAGGAGTCAAGAACCAGAAAACAGAGCTCTCAGGAATTCTTCCTGACATCATAAGTTATTCTACATTTTTCAAATAACAACATATAACAAAAATTAAAACAGATTATTAAATGAGATATAAAAAACCTACAAAACTCAGAAGAAAAATCTTGTTCTAGACTAAGCTATGCTTTATTATGATACAAAGTATAAGTACCCCCCCCAAAAAAAAATCAGACATAAAATTAGACCCACAAAAAGCTGGTCTCTAACTCAGTGGCCGAGGACTTGCCTAACAGGTACAAGGTCCTGAGATAGGTCCCAGCACAGAGTTTAAACAAACAAAACCCCAGAGAATTACTGCTACGTTTTAAAGGGTATATCATATAAATGAGACAATTCCCAGAATAGGAGCAGATATTTTAAAATGTATTGATAAAGGTCAAGTATTTAGGAGGAAAAAAGTTATGACACAATAAAAAGCAAAATAACACAATTTAAGAACAGGTAAGAGGGTGCTGCAGGCTAGAGAGATGGATCAGAAATTAAGGCCATTTTGCTGCTCTTGCAAGAACAGCTACATGAAGGCTGGCAACTATTTGCAACTCCAGTTTCAAAGGATCAAACCCTCCCTGGCCTCCTGCATACACACGGTGCACCTGTTACTAATCATGAGGGTGATACAAACCCAAACCATTTTAAGCCCATTACCATGGCTATAGTCTTTTAAAAAGAACTTTTTTTTTTTTTTAAGGCAGCAAGAGACATTGGTAGGATTATGGAGAAATCGGGATCTGCGTACATTATTATTTAAATGTAAAATGGTACAGTCACTTTGAAGAATAGCGTGTCAGTTGTTTATGAAATTAACATATGACTTAGCAATTCTACTCCAAAATATTATTTGATAACAAAATATTTATTATAGCACCGTACAATATGGATAAAAGAAGCGTCAATAATGAACACATAAACTCCATTCACACTAAATTTCTAGAGTAAGAAAATTTATAAAAAGAAACCAGAACCATTGTAGGAAGTCATTATTTTGGACTGAGTTCCTCTACTAGACCACCAAAGGACAAACTACTAAACCAAAATGGAGTCACTCCTGTTAAATGTCACATCTTCCATGAGTAAGCTGCTTGCTATAAAGCATAAGAATTTGAGTTTGGACTCTCAGGGATGGTGGATGTGCCTATACCACCACAGCAGGGGTGGAACCTGGGGGCTCACTGGCTTTAGGTGAAATGATGAGTTGCAGGTTGAGTGAGAGCATCTAAAAAATCAGTGGGATGTAGTGGCATCTGCCTGAGGATGTGGCTTCAGTGTGCAGATGTGATCTTATAAGGAAGAGGAGAGGCCCACGCTCTCTCTCTGGGGCTGTGGTCTGAGCATCATCACAGAATCCTGCACCTCCAGAGGCAGACGACCACGGCAGCTATTTTACCTTCACTGTGTGAGTGTTCCCCCAATAAGTATGTCATTCTTTATTCAGGCGTGCGTGGACTTCCTTACCCTGCCTTTGGAGGAAGACAGCCAACATCCACCCTTTCATTCCCACACACTTTACACAATGTCACACAATCAACTGAAACCTTAAGGAAGTAAATGGATCCCCAAACAGACCAATTTGTCCTGAAAACAGATTTCAGCCAGCCCCTTCTGCTTTAACCTTAGACAGACAGACAGACAGACAGACAAATGTAACCTGGAGCTAAAGAAACGGTTCAGGGTTACAAGCTTACTGCTCTTCCAGAAGGCCCAAACTCATTTCCAGTACCCACATCAGGTAACTCCAGCTCCAGAGCATCTGACACTCTCTTTGGGCCTCCATGGAACTTCCATACTCACTCTCACACACATATAGAAAAAAACAAAACAAACTTTAAAAAAAGTAACCTGATGTTAACTTACTAGATTTTCTCACTGTTGTTTTGTTCCAATTTTACAAAACTCGCTGCTCAGCTAGTGCCCAGTGCACATGCTCATGCATTTTACACCATACCGAGTGGACTGGGTGGGGTGGGAGGAAGGAGGGGTAGCAGGTGGAGGGGAGGAAGTGGGAACTGGGGTTGGTATGTAAAATGAGAAAAACTTGTTTTTGAAATTAAAAAACGATATAAAAACAATTCACAAACGCAGTTTTCAAAGGTTAATTACATCAAAGCAGGCTTCTGTCTGCTTGGTGGTTCTCAGTGTCTGTAAGCATGGCTTCCACACTCTTTTTACCCAGCTCTTGTCATTGTGGTGGTGTTGAGTTTCATTACTCTCATATAAAGTACGTGCTTATTGGCTTATTTGATGGAACTATTGATGTGTTTGCTTTTCTTTCCTGGTTGCATTTCGTGCCTTTATGGGGGAAGACTTAGAGTCTAGCCAGTGCCACCAACTCTGGCACATCACTTTGAGGCAGAACCAAGCCCCTTTCTCTCTCCCCATATCTAGGCTGAGCAAGGCATCCCTCCAAAGAGAATGGGCTTCAAAAACCCAGTTCAAGCACCAGGAATGGATCCTGGTCCCCACTGCCAGCGGCCCCACAGACTGCCCAAGCCACACTGCTGTCACCCACATTTAGAGGGCCTAGTTTGGTCCTATGCAGGTTCCCCCGCTGTCATTCCACAGTCAGTGAGCTCCCACGTGCTCAGGTCACCTGTTTCTGTGGGTGTCCCCAAAATAGTCTTGATACCTTTGCTCATGTTATTGCTCCTCCCTCTCTTCAAAGGGACTCTGGGAGTCAGCCCAGTGCTTAGCTGTGGACCTCCCCATCTGCTTCCATCAGTTACTGGATGTAGGTTCTACGATGACCATTAAGGTAGTCACCAATCTAATTGGGAGGGGGGGAGGCAGTTCAAGCACCCTCTCCACTGATGCTTAGGGTCTTTAGGGTCTTAGCAGGGGTCACTCTTGTGAACTCCTGGGAGGTTCCCTAGTGCCAGTTTTCTCAATAGCCCATAATGACTCCCTCAATCAAGATGTCTCTTTTTTGTTCTCCATCTCTACCATCCCCTTGTGTTTTGCTCCCCACTCCCCCACACTCCCGATTTCCTCAGGAGATCTTTCCTATCCTTCCCTGGAGGACCCTCCCTTCTGCCCCACTCCCCCACACTCCCGATTTCCTCAGGAGATCTTTCCTATTTCCCCTCCCTGGAGGATCCATGCATGCCTCTCTTGGTGTCCTCCTTGTTTCCTAGCTTCTCTGGGGTTGTGGGCTATAGGCTGGTTTTCCTTTGCTTTATGTCTAATATACTTATGAGTGAATATATACTGCGTTTGTCTTTTTGGTTCTAGGTTACTCAATCGGGATAGTTTTTTTCCTAGTTCCATCCATTTGCCTGCAAATTTCAAGATGTTACCTTTTTTTTTTTTTTTTTTTTTTTTTTTTTTTTTTTTTTCTTACTGCTGAGTAGTACTCCACTGTAAAATTTGAAAAGTATTTAAGGGGATATGCAGCTAAAGGGGTTCTCTGTCTAAGGAAGTATTTCACCAGGTCAGACACAAAGGTAGTTGGAGGGGATCAGACTTCATCCCAGCGGAGTGATCCACATGGCACTGGTTTTGAGAAACGAAAGCTGCAAGACTAAGGGGGCTAGAGACTTTGCACCGTGGCACCAAAGAGCTGCCGAGGCTGGGCAGTATGTGGTCGAGCATCTGCAAAGA